TATGATTATATAAAAAATTGATATATTTTATATACAATTATGTAATTATATCCATATAAAATATATCCATATTATACATAATATTTTTTCCCGGAGTACCATAATGATAATTATGAATATAGAATGTTTAAAAAATGAAAGTTAGGCATTTTAAAAATATGGAAAAGAAGATTGAATTTTTCTTGAATATCTATCACAACTAAACAAAATGTTTTATTGTTACTAACAACTTAATTGAAACTTTACCTGACTTTTCACAATCTCTTATATCACACAGATCTTGTGGTACCAATGGATCCGTTGTATAACACCATGTGCCAGCAATATTGCGCGAAGGATTTCTACAATAATTATTAGCATCTTGTACACTAAGTTCAGGATAAAGACTGTCATTTAAATATGTTTGGTCAACAAAATTGATATGTTTGTCAACTTTAAATCCTGATTGAGATAAATTTGAGGATGGTGGTTTCATAAGTAATTGTGATGATGTCAATAAATTTTGTTTTGCCATCAAATGGCGTTTCGAGCGAGATTTTGTGCGAATCAATCTTAAAAATCTAGAAGAAGATTTTGTTTTCAACGATACGTTCGATCTTTGTATCTGTTCGAAATTATAATTATCCAACCATTTCGCACAAGTTCGACCTGAACGAGTCGTTGATAATGTACCTATATAATCATTAGCAGTTCCAGCCATTCGACATTCTGTAAAAAAACGGAAAAAAATTATTTCAACTCCAATTAATCTATTTAACATGTGATACTATATTAAATAAAAAGATAATAATTTTTATATTTAATCGAAGATTAATTTGTAATAATTATGAATTTTTTATATTTTGTTAACTGTTACAATAGTCATCAAATTGTGCAGAACTTTTTTATTTAGTTAGTTTGCTTTACCTACTCACGATCCTTGTGTTAATAACTCAAACACCCTATATACATCATGTTATAAAAAAGTCAGTAATAAAATATAATTATGAATTGAAAAAAAAATTGAACAGATTTAAACATAGTTTAACACAAATTGACTGTAGAAATTAAACACGACATTTTCTGTCATTAATATGCTATCACATTATGTTTGCAATAGAATGTATTTTTAATGCAGATGTAGTTGAATCCGCGGATCTATTAAAATTTCTGTTCGTCTGTGTTTACGTATTGTCACGATTATACATTCACTTATTAAAATTTATTATATATATAAAACATGTATTATATTTTATACTAAATCAGTAATATTTACCTTTATAATTACAAAGAGGAATATCGCATTCCTCATCAATTACTGTAGAATTTAACGTGTAACACCAAGGACCTCTTCGATCTCGGGTAGGATTTCTACAATAATTTTTGGCAAGTTCCGTAGATTTCTCCGGAAAATCTTCATCACTTATATTCTTCTAATAATAAAAAAATTTAAATTAAATTTTAATGATGTAACGTACAGAATATAAAGGAATATAGCCAAGAAAAACTTCAAATTATACAATATCGAAAGTTATGCATGACATCAAAGATTATGATAATGCATAAATTTCATAGAAATATGTGACAAAATTATAATAATCTCTCCATTTTATATAAAAAAATGTCCACGATACACAAAATCAATTTGCAAATCACAAACTAATAAACCGAGCACCGACAAATACCTCGCGCAACAAATATCGTCGTTATAAGTTGCTATTTGCACAATAATCTTAAATATTTTTGGTTGTAATTTTTCCATTTTTCTTCGCTTATTCGCATTTTTCGCTATCATTTTCCATGATTATAGATATGTAATAAAACACTTACATTCAGATAATAAAACGCATTTGCATAATTTTAGAACTTGCAACGTTTAATGTCTCAAAAAATATACAGGGTGTCCCAGAATGACTGTGACACCTTTCGTGAGTAAAAAGAACAGACTAAACTGAATCGAAAAGTCCTATATTATTTTGCAATTTTCACAATAGTCAACGAGATATTAATTTCTAAAAATTGCTTAACAAGCATATGTAATCCGCGCGGTCTATTGCCAAGGACGCGCTTATCGGTCGCAGTCGTTTAACTCACAGAGAACTATTTAGCAAGCGCACTGCTTAAGTTATGACGCCTATAGCAGCGTGCGAGGCGCGATGGTACCTGTACACAAAGTTGTCACGGTTATTCTGGAACGCCATATCTATATATTTATAGGAAAATATTATTATATAATATAATAACGATACAATATATTATAATAAACAATAATGACAACATAATATAATCTGGAGACACGGTAGTATCTCGGTGCTAATATAATATACATAGAAATTATGAAGCAGAATTCGAGACGTTCATCATACTTTAATATTACCTTACTTATCACACAGAATGCAGGTTTGTGTCATAAACTAACTTTATAAAGTAGTCGAGCGGCTGTCCATAATTGGCAACGAAATCCACTAATAGTTATGTTAATAAAACCTTTATACTCAATTCCTAGTTGAGATATCTTACACTCAGATAAATCAATTCCCGACGTGTTATGCACTGAAAAAGAATGAAATATAAAAGGTCTATTCGCGTTGCATGCTCCAGCATGCTCCAACATACTCCAACATGTTCCTACCGTAACTCATACTCAATTCAACGCACTCGTTGGAGTGAGTAGGAGTTATGTTAAATTAAAAATAATCGGGTAGATATTTGCGGATCATACAGAGAACAATATATGTTACCACTGGAAACAGTAAATAGTCTAAGTTTTTTTATACTTTATTTCTGCATTCTTTACTTTTTTTGCATCATATTTCTATTATTTATGTGTGTATATATATATATACATGTATATGTATATATAAAATCACATATAACTTCTTTTATATCACTGAATGTTCTGTATATAATAAAAGCTATATATTAAATATATTTGTCTTCTTGTTTCCAATTTATTACATTGACTGTTCTTTTGAAAACTACATTTTTTTAGTTTATTACATGAATCTGCAATAACCAAGCTTAAAATTTTCAAGAATATCACAACTGCAAAATAATGTTTAACGTTCATATTGTTTTAGTTCAAAGAGCGGTATAAATGATATTATATTTGAGAATTAATTAGTCTTCTATAATATTTTGTTCAGAGTGTCTTCTGTTTGATATTCTTCTTTACTGCCATCAATTACAATTAATGTCTTGCTCATTGCTCAATTGCACCACTACTGCGAATTTCGCTAAAATTAAAAAAAAAATTTTTAGTGAAATTTCAGTGAAATATTTCAATAAATTTTTAGTATTTTTGCTGAAATATCAATGTCAACAAAATTTTTGCAAAGTTTCAGCAAAATTTTTTCACTAGGGAATGAATTTATATTTTTGTGTACATATGATAAATTGTTTTCGTAGTTTTTCTTATTCTATCTAGCAGTGCTAAGTATTTTTACATAAAAGAATTTTTATTTAAATTAAATTTTTTCATTTTATATTGTTAATGTTATCACCCAAGTTTGATTTATAGAGAAGATGAACAACAGAGAAAAAATGTAATTGTGCGGCAATATATAAGATATTATAACATTAAAAGTGTGCATACTTATTTATATAATAAAAAATCACAGAATTTAATAATAAATTATCGAAATTAAGGGGCCTATTCTGTAACTCTTAACGACTCTAACGATATCGTTAAATTGTCGTTGCGCAGCTTTTTTACTATATACAAAATCTGCACAATGACAATGTAACAATATCGTTGCAGTCATTAAGAGTTACAGAATAGGGCCCTTAATATATTATATTTGTGTTAATAATTGTAAATTTTTATTAATTGTCGGTAATGTCATCATTCTTCAATTATCCCCGGGTCTCCGGGACTCCATTGATAGTAGGTTTGTCGCGTCGCACGCTCCAACGTGCTCCAACATGCTCCTACCATAGCTCTTACTCACTCCAACGCGCTTGATAGAGTGAGTAAGAACTGTGGTAGGAGCATGTTGGAGCATGTTGGAGCTTGCGACGCGAACAAACCTCTAGTATAATACATGGCCGAAGTAACATTGGCCATGGTATAATATGCAACAGTCTTTAAGGGGATGCTGGAGCCGCCTGTATTACCGATAAAACTAGTGTTTTTAATGTTTTTGTTCCTGTCGAATTTCTTCGTAATGGTTTCACAGAATAAAAATTCCTTTTCCATGATTAAAATATACATGCTAATGTATTTGTCGCTGATGTATTTTGTGTTCAAAGCTGGAAAAAATAAAAAATTACAGATTTCTTTATCCATTTTTATCTCAGTATGGCGACCAACGCTGAAGGTAAAATGAATAAAGAAATTTGTATTTTTTTATTTTTTCTAGTTTTGAACACAAAATACACTAGCGACAAATACATTAGCGTGTACATTTAATCGTGGAAAAGAAATTTTTATTCTGTGAAACCATTACGAAGAAATTCGACAGGAACATAAACATCAAAAACGCTAGTTTTATCGGTAATACAGGCGGCTCCAACATTCCCTTAATTATAATAGACCTGCTCTTCTTAGCTGATATAACTTTTGCACCAGTTCATCTTTCTTCCTTTCCTTTTCAGGAGAAAAGAAGAAGAAGAAAGATGAACTGATGCAAAAGTTCAACCAATATGCAAAAAGAACAGGTCTAGTATCTCGTCGGTAACGATTTTATCGACAGTTTCACAAAATAGACGCATCTAGTTCCCATGTCGTAAAAATGGATGTAGAGGCGCTGATATATCCACAAACGAACTGCACATGCGCACGGTTCGCAAAGCTTATGGAATCATTTCGTCCAATTTTATCTTTGTTGTTTATCGAACGTTAAACAAGGACAATTAATGCTTATGGGCGTTGTGAGCGCTAAATTAAATACGCCCACGCGAAAAAGGAATGAACGCTCTCAAATTTCTCTTTGGTGTATATATGATTTTAGGTTAGATTATTGACATTGTAGGAAGTGAAGTGATTGCACCTTTAAATTTTGACTTTTTTAACATTCGTATGCAAAACAAATGAGATGGGTTTACTTACGGATCCTAGAGCTGGAACCGGCAAAATCATAAAATTATTATTAAAATGGGAGAAACCTTTATGCTTTGTATTATATATAGGAGGAGTTGTATGGCTAATGCTATTAGCGTTACCGGCGTTTAATGATAGTATGTGTGGCTTTCCTATAAATAAAAGTTTTTGAGATTTAAAGGCATAATGCTATAATTTTAATTTGCATTTATAAACTAATTTAATTTTTAGATACCTATTTTTCTGAGAATGCTTTATTACCTGGATTAGTCACGAAAGAAAGTAACCTGGAACAAACGTCAAAGCAGTATTTCTATGAACTTAGTCACGAGATGAAGAGATATCCGGATAATATGCCTTATGCATGGCTCTCGGCAAAATTCAGTCAGCTTCATTTAGATGTATTTGTACATAATTTTTCCTTAATTTATCCATTTCAGGAACAGAAGGTAATATAATTTTAAAATAAATGATAATTTTTCACTTTCTACACATACATATACAAAATTTTACAGTTTGTAGGACAAAATGTTTATGGTATTGTCAGAGCTCCGCGAGCATCCAGTACTGAAGCTATTGTAGTCAGTGTGCCATATAGACCTATTAACAGCATATATTTAGATACTGCACCTTCGATAGCTCTATTACTTGCATTTGCAAAGTTTTGCAGAAGTAAATCTCTGTAAATTACTATTAAATGGTTAACAAATGATATATCAAAGTATATTTTTTAATAACTGATAATTTGTTTATAGAACAAAAATATTGGGCAAAAGATATAATATTTCTTGTAACAGAGTATGAGCAGTTGGGTATGCAAGCATGGCTAGATGCATATCATGGATCTACCAGTGGCCAGGAAGGAATCTTGATAGCAGGAGATTTATCTGGCAGAGCTGGATCTATTCAAGCTGCTATTAATCTTGAGTTTCATGCAATGAAAATCACATCAATTGATGTTAAGGTACATAAGTTTTGAAAACTATATATAATTATATAAATACTTTATTATATCTACATCTATAAAATCATTTGTTCTTAGGTAGAAGGTCTAAATGGACAGCTTCCCAATTTAGATCTTTTTAACTTAGCACAAAACATGATAGCTAAAGAAGGCATTCAACAGTCTTTCCAACGTCGATTTGACGTTAATTATAGAGATAAATTTAAAAGTTGGTGGTATCATTTTAACACGTTAATGAGTATGGTAGCGACACAAGCTACTGGAGTTCCAACTGGTAATCATGGGCTCTTCCACAGGTACAATTTATAAAATGAGAGAAAACAAGAGAAAGAGGTGTATGTGGGTATATACAGTATTGGATAAAATAAATCAGTAAAAACACATCTAATCATTTTTTAGCGCTTTACAAGCGATGCTGTGCTACTGGGAACTTATTATATTAAAAAATATTTTTATTTAACACATGTTGTAATATATAATATAACATGTACATTTAGATTTTAATCTTTTATATCTTTAGTAATATTATCTTTCACATTTAACTAAAATTTGTTTGATATTTTTTTTAGGTTTGGTATTGAAGCCATTACGTTAGAAGGTTTCAAAAAATCTGGAAAAGAAACAGGAACAAATTTTTACCAAGTAGGACGTATAGTAGAAAGTATAGTAAGATCGCTTAATAATTTATTAGAGCGTTTCCATCAGTCATATTTTTTCTATTTATTACCTTCTACCGATCGATACATTTCTATTGGTAAGAAAAAGAAATAAATATCTTTTAAATACATTTTAATTTGTTAGATTCAAGCAAATGAATAAATAAAAATTATTTTGCAGGGTTATATATGCGACCTTTGGTACTAATAATCGCTAGTTTGTTTATAAAGGCATTTTCTATTTGGCAAAGATTACAGACATTAAATAATTCGAATGAAACAAAAAAGAATAAACAAGATTTATCGAATAAGGTAACAAAATTCTACATTTAGTTCATATATTTTTTTTATCATGTGATTTCACAAATATATCTATTTTAATGAACAGGTCGACAAATTCGACATCGGAAGTATCGCTTCCGAAGTGTTGTGGGCGCACATATTTGGAGTACTAATAATGGCTTCTCCTCGAATTTTCACTTTAATCGGATCACAGATGTTGAATCTACGTACAGAGGATTCATTATACATCAGTTTTACCTTAATCACGATCCTCACGATGTTTGGGCGCTTTTATCCGAAGAGGTAAAACAAGAAAGTATTGTATGGTTTAATTGCGCATTACTAATGAAGGTAATTTGTAGATCAATCAAATACGAAAATATATCACTCGTATTCGTTATTGCTTTGATCGAGCTAGCTACCGCATTAATGTGCATAGCTATGCACAATTTCTCATTAGCATTAGTGACGGCCGTTGTGTATGTACCAATTGTATTTTTGATAACACCGCATCATGAATCTGCTTCCAGGTGAGCGCGATTGAAATTGATTTTCATGTTCTGTCTCTCACATTCTCTATTTTGTTTGAAATTCGTATGTTTTTAATTAATATTTCGCTTTTACAGATTCCGCTGCTGCCAATATATCGTATGGATCATGCTGCATCCATTTATTTCATCGGCGATTGTCGTGATGGGCTACACATATCTTAATTTTCCTACTGATCCCATTCCATCCCTGTTTCTTAGAAGCTATCGCGCCAATAAGCAAGCACTTGTATTCAGCATTGTTGATTCTATGATATACGGCAATTGGTTCTACAATGTCGCCACTGCTGTTATGTTACCGATGTGGATGTTATTTTGGAATGTTATGCACTCGAGCATCGCGACTCCCTTACGATAAAACGATTGTGTAATTCACGATAGTATTTTTATCGATTCGAGTTATACATAAATTATCTTTTTGATGTAATTTTCCTCACGTCTGTAATAAATCGATTAATTTAACTTGTGATAAGTATCCAATAAATATTACTTGCTCTTGGCAAGCCTTTTTGACAAAGTCAGAGAAATACATTTCGAAAGGAGTCCTCAGAGGTCAACTTATTTTCTCGTGAGACTACGTGTTCGTCAATAATACGTCAGCCAATAGATATATTATCTTCCCATGATGATAACCCTTGCGATATTCTTATTGTCGACTCAACTAGTAAATGCGTGCACTAGTTTAGTGCGTGCAGTGAGTACGATAGCATTGGACGAGCGTTGCTAGGTAAAATATCAACGCATTAAACGAAAACTGAGAGCGTAACGGTACGTGAGTTGTTTTTACAATTAAAATTCCGCGTCACATTGACATACTTATACAGATGATGTCACGTATTATTCAATTGTGAATGATATTGATGAAATATTATGTACTGATTGCTGCATATGATTTCATCTAATCGTTCCTGATATTCAAATGTCGTAACACAAATGCCAACGTAATTATGACCTTCTTGAGCCACGCGTGTTTGCCTTTAAGCTTTTTTTTCTTCGATTTTTTTTTAACAATTTTTATTACTTCGCAGAAATTTATATCGTTTATATCATTTATATGGTTTTGCAACATTGCGATACGTAATATATGTAAATTTATTAAAAAATTACATGTTATACATTCCTAATATTTGTTTTGGTTTTTAATGACGTCGTAACCCATTCATAACTGAGTTTTCCTTTTAACCCAAATTTTAAATGAAATATTTGCTTATATTATTTATTTCTTAAATTACTCAAATATTCTGGTAATCAAATAGTAAAAGAAATTTTTATAATAGTAAAATTTTTGCAATAAAAGAATATAAAAATATTACTTGTTTAAATAATTCTTATTTTTTTAATTTATAAAAAACTTCTATAAAAAATTTGGTATGTGTAGATTAAATTTCACTTAAAATATCATACAAATTACTTAAAATCCTTAATTGCTTAACAATAAATTCGTAATCTTGAATGCGAACAAATTTAATACAAATAAATGCGATATGATGAAGATAATAATCGCGATAATGGATTCAAATTTATCTTATATTTTAATTTTGTCGATATACAGAGTGTTAGTTAAGTATGTTGCAATACTCAACAGAGCGATTCTTTATTTCAAGTAAAAAAATCCATACAAACATGTGTCCTAAACGGCTTAGTTTCCGAAATACAGGTGAATGTTCGCAAATGTTTGACAAAACGATAAATTGCGTTGGATATATCTTCCTGCATAAATGTGCTTTGCTTCACGTGAGCTACCATTCGCACAACCGTAAACAAAGTAATAAAATCAAAGTCAAGGTCACAAAATCAAAAATAGACTTCAGTTCTGATTTTTGAGCGTGTACGTCAATCTTTGAGAAGAAGGCTTGATGGACAAGGTGGACGCAAGGTGGACATTTTCAACAATTCATCTAATTATTGTTTTATTTCATCAGAAGAACTGAAGCTTGTTTTTGTTTTTCTGTTTTTGACTAGTTTTTGACTAGTTCAAGCTGTATATTTCTTTCAGATAAACAGATTATTACTACACGTTTAAATTTTTTTATTTCGAAAAAGCCGTTTAGGACACATGTTTATATGGACTTTTTTACTTGAAATAAACCAGTGCTCGGCACTAGATGCACATTTCGGGCTGATTCCGGCGAGCGACCCCCACTACCACTCGAGTCTCAGCGG